CTATGCTTTCCAAGAAGCTGGTCCCTCTCAGAGGAACTGTTCCCTTGTGGGGGCACTAATGAAAAGGTCACATAAGACTAATCAAGACCATTCCTGGTCTTGCAGAGCTGCTTCTGCCTCCTCCCAGAAGAGTTTGGACCAGCAGGGTTGACTGCTCCATGGTGCTGCATAGGGAAGTCAGAGACTCCATGCTATCAGCTGGCTGAGGGGAGAGATAGCTCAGTAGTTTGAGCATTGGCCTGCTAAACCCAAGCTTGTGAGTTCAGTCCTTGAAGGGGCCATTTAGGGATCTGGGGCAAATCTGTCAGGGGATGGTACTTGGTCCTGCTGTGAAGGCAGGAGACTGGAGCTGATGATCTTTCAAGGTCCCTTCCAGTGCCATGAGATAGGTAACTTCAGTTCCACTGAGTCCAGTACTGAGGGTGATGCTGGCACCAGCTGTGTCAATGCAGGTGGCATATCAAGTGACAACTGACCTCCTCTACTTCTCCATCCTGATATCTGCCTTGATTCAGGATTTCACCAGGGAAATGTCATTTGCAGCCCTGCTGTACAGACAGGCCACTGAATCTTTGGGTTCATCAACTTTGTATCCTGATGTTTCCCTGACACAGATGGTTGGTACAAAGCTGACCACAAGGAACCTCAATGGCATTGGGAAACTACTCAGCAAGGCTGAATTTTGTTCCACCAGTGTTTCCATGGCAACAATCTCTTACTTCTACTTTGGCATTCTCAGCTGCATTGGTATCACCACTGACTACAGGACAGATGCTGCTCCTGGCACTGGAACGAATGGAGATGCACGCCGTACAAGGGATACAATTTCTGCCATCAGCACTTGTTCCTCCCTTGGTTAGGGTGATGGATAAGTCGGATCAGTTGTTCACATGTTCAGGGCTGGCTCCACCCTTATCCCTGGAATCCCAGGATTCTTTGGCATTGAGGTTGGGATCCTCCTCCTACTTTCCAAGGCTTGGGTCCACATTGGGGTTGTGATGAATTCCCCAAGGTATGGCCTGGAATTGTGGAAACACTGTGCCCCCTTAATTCTTCTCATGGAGCTGTCTCTTCAGATGCTGTACTAGTGACACCCAGCAAACCCCTCCAGGTGCTATGATCACTCAGCTAACAACATACAGAGACAAACCCATCTGAGTTGTATGAATGCTGTCTATGCCACTCATGAACTATACAGAGGGAGACATTAGCAAATCCCTCCAGATTTGCATCCCAGATCAGTACTGTCTTACACTTCCCAGAACATTCTCTTGAACAATGCAAGTTCATTAATTAATTCATCACATTTGTCACATAATGGACACCCACTAGCTTTTGTAATCTGAGTAGATTCCCAAAGAATTTTAGGTAATTCACGGGAAAGGATAAAACATTAAAATAAGTTTATTATCTACAGAAAGATAGATTTTAATTGATTGTAAGTGTTAGGCAAAGAGGTCCAAGTTAGTTATATCAGAACAAAAAGATAAAACAGCAATCTATACTAAGCAAGATTTGAATCTAGCAGTTTTTCTCACCCTAGTAGGCCTCGTTAAGCAGCTCACAGTTCTTAATATGCAGTCTGAATTCATATTCTTTTTGCCTTTGGAGTATTTGGCAGAGGAGAAAGGCCCTGAATTGATGTCACAGTCTTCAGTTTATATCCCCGTGCCTCCAATACATGTGCCTGGAAAGATACTGTCTCAAACATGGAGTCAGGGATTACATATTCTATATCTCCTTATGAGTCCCTGGGTTAAGCAATCCCTATTGTGTGGATCTTGAGCAACTTGCTTTTATTGAACTGTAAATCTCTTGTTTACAATTCTACTGCTGGTAAATGGCCAGTGAGAGTCACTTAACATCCATCTGGCTGAGGGTAACCTCTTTTGTTGCTATTGGAGCACTCACTATGTGCGTCTCCCACATATTTCAATAATAACCATATATTGCCTGTAAGGAAGGAGGGGAACCTGGGCCCGCCCTCGCTCTGGGTCCCGACCCAGGACCCTAAAGGCAGCGGTGCTAGGTTGCTGCCCAGCTGGCGGGGACTCCATAACTCACCAACCGCCCGGGTAGGGTCGAGGCGCTGACGCCGCTGGCCATCCCTGTCCTGGGTCACTTCCTCCTTCTCGCTGGCCGCTCTGCTTCAGCGAAGATCTCCCCTGGGTCAGCGGAACCCGCTCCTCGCTCCCGGCCGGAGCGTCCTCCCTTCTTCCTCTCCCCGGGCATCTTTTAAAATGCCCGCCTCCGTTAGCCCCGCCCCCCTCATCCGGGCGCAGAGTGATGACGTCACCTGAGGAGGGGAATCCCCTCCGGGTGCCGTCTGCGTCCCTGGCTATCCCCGTACAGACGGGGCACGTGAGCCGGGGTACCATCCATGAGCGTCCGCGCTCGCAGTTTCCGGGGCGACCAGACGCCGCAGGTGGTGCTCCCGCAGCCTCGCCAGCCTCCCCTTTGCCCCCTGCGGGCTCAGGAGTGCGGGGTGCCATCGGTTCCGGCACGGCTGGGATCGGCGCCCCATCACTAGTGGTAAATAGGCCAATGGTAGGAAGATAGGAGTTACTACTGGCGCTCCCCCCGCCGCGCCGGCCTCCCCTTTGCCCCCTGCGGGCTCAGGAGTGCGGGGTGCCGTCAGTTCCGGCGCGGCCGGGACCGGCGCCCCGTCACAGGGTTACAGAGTGCTACTTTGAGGTACAGTGTGTCACAGGGACCATTCATGGAGCATGATGTATAATGGGATTGGTACTCATCTCGTAGTTGGGATGGGGGCCCCAGGCCTGGCACCTACTGGCAAGCCCTATCTGGGAAGTGGGGGGAGGGGAGGGAAGGAGCAAGAGGGCCATTGTGCTCAGGCCTCAGGAGACAAAGGGGGCTCAAATGTTGACATTTTTCTACCAAGTAATTTCCAGTTATTATACACCTGGCAGCGATGACAGAGACAACAAAAGAAGCTATATGTACCTGCAAAAAATGGATTTAAATCATTGTGGGACCTCAGGCCTTTGCCAGTTTTTTAGTCACATCTGAGTTTTCATCTTTGTGATTGGAGTGGCTTCTGTGATTAGTGAGTCTACGTTATGAAACACTGTTTACAGTCATTGCATAGTTTAGAAGTTTTGAAAGTTGTAATGAATTCTGTTACTGTAAAGTGATTTTTGCTTGGTCTGAGGATGTTTAAATTAGATGTTTATCTCTGCATAGGAGATTTTCGTATTCCTGTTTTTTCTTATGTGTCTTCATATACAATAACCATATCAGACTCAGCTACCTCTTTGTCCAGTTTTAGATTCACCTTTAAAAGCTTTTTTGTGATAATGAACTTTTAATTCAAGTTGTTTAATAAACTTTGTATCTACTCTGACAATCACCCCATGTTCATATTCATAGTAATGCACCAGTTATTAGAGGAATTTAATAACAGGAACATGCAAGCATATGAAATGTCAAGACTTTGAAATAAGGTCATAAGGGCCGTAGCAAATAACACCCCCAAATTGTTATTATATAATATTCATTGAGAAGTATATACAATTAAAATTTTGTATAACCAATAGCCTTTAGCACATTAATTTGTGTGTTACTGTGTTTTAAAAGAACCCCTTTATAAAAATGAAGCGAAGATTTGAAAGTGTTGCAAGTAAGAGACAGCAAAAGCAGCAGAGTGAAGCAGCAGTTAACAGTTTAAAGCCAATAACATCATTTCTTGTAGAAAAGACACCTCAGCCATTAGACAGTGACCGTACTGATAGTGACCCTTCCAGTTCTGATGATGAAAACTTGGTACCCACAAATGACATTTCAATGCCACTGCCTCAAAATGAGGAGGTCATTAATCAAGACACAGAAATGCCAACAGTAGCGATAGATGCAGAATCTATGCTCAATTTAGAGACGGTAAAGGCAGAAAATGAGGACCTCACCTCAGAGATGCTGTGTAGCAAGAGCAAGAACTTACACTGTGTCCTGTGTTAGTCATAACAGTGGCATCAGAACCGGATATTGGACTTCTTGATCAGAACAATGTTGCTCAAATGCCGTCATTTCTCAGTTAGTTGTTTTTAGATTCCAAGTAATATACCAAAAGATGCTGAAAATCATGCTTTTCCCACTTGTATGCTAACAAAAACTCTTCCAAATGGAGAGATTGACACAAGAGATTGGCTCTGATGGAACAAGGAAAAGCAGGCGCTGTTCTGTGTACCGTTTCATTTTTAACACAGATACTTCAAATGCATCAGTACTGTCTGATCCATCCAGTTGGAGCATCAGTAAAGGCTGGAGGAAGTTGAAGGACTGAATTCATGCACATGAAACTTCAGTGTTGCAAAAAGATAACTGTTACATGGAAATCAGCTAGTAGAGCAGCACTAGCTGACAGTTTAATTGAAAACTTACTCCTGAGTGAAATAAACACAGAAACTGATCATTGGAAAAATCTCCTTGAGCGCATATTGAATGCCATTCTTTTTCTTTCTGAACAGGTTTTGGCTTTGATTGGTATCGGTCACCCTACAAACAGAAATTTCCTTGGTATACGTGAGCTTCTTAGCAAGTATGACCCACGTTTATCAGGCAATGTTAAGCATGTTCATGAATCACAAGAGAGCAGAAATCGCATGCAAGTCCATTATTGTCTACCAGAATACAAAATGTTATTGAGCTGTGTGGGACATTTGTGCTAACAACAATGCTTGAAGAGATACAACATGTGAAGTACTTTTCAGTTATTATTGATGCAACTCCAGACTGTTCTCATAGGGTATGTCTACACAGCAAAGTTTTTTCGAAATAACAGCGGAGCACTTATTTCGAATTTGGTAAACCTCATTCCACGAGGAATACACCAAATTCGAAATAGCTATTTCAAAATAAGTGCTGTGTAGACACTTATATTGAAATAGGGGGCATCCAGCCTTCCCAAGGTGCCCTGGTGGCCACTCCAGCCTCAACCAAGAATACTCCTCTCCCCTCCCCAGAGCCCTTAAAGGGGTTGTCAGTGGCCACAGTGCCTGTGCCAGCTCCAAGCCTGCCAGCCCAGAGCCAGCAGTCACTCCAAAAAAGCAGCCAAAAAAGCCACTGGCAGCCAGCCCTGCACTGCTCTCCAGGAGCAGTCTGCCAGCTCTCAGAACCCTGCCAGGGCCTGGAGAAGGCGGGTGCCTTCCTGGTCCAGAGTGGAGATCATCGACCTTATTAAGTTTTGGGGGGGGGTGGGATACCCTCAACATCCATGATCTCTGCACTAGATGGAGGAACGCGGCCGTCTATGGCAGGATAGCTGCCAGCCTGGCCATGAAAGGCCACGTGCGAACCCAGGAGCAGGTTTGCATGAAAGAACGCGCCCGTCTATGGCAGGATAGCTGCCAGCCTGGCCATGAAAGGCCACGTGCGAACCCAGGAGCAGGTTTGCATGAAAATCAAGTTGGTCCAGCAAGACCCCTAAGCCCTGAGCTTCCCCTCCCCCTTCTTCCCCTTCCCTCCTCCCAGGTTTCCTTTTCCCCTCTCCCACCCTCTCTTCTCCCTTCTCCTGCCTCCTTTCCCCAGTCTCACCAGAGTTTCATTCCCCTCCTACCGCAGTTTTGTTAAAGAAAGTTTGTGTTCATGAAAATACATGTATTTTATTTGACATCAGGAAGGGGGGTTAGGGAGGGGTAAGTGGAAGGACATGGGGACGAATGAGGCACAAGCCCCCAGTGGGGCAGACCAGGGAGGCTCTTAGTGCTCCTCAGGGTGGAAGCTCTCCCACAGGGCCTTCTGGATACTGACAGCTCCCCGATAGACCTCCTGGATGGCAGCCTGCAGAAAGTGCAGCCAGGCTCGCAGCAACGCATCCACGAGAAGCACTAGAATGCCCAGGGGCAGCTCTGGCTCCATGCTGCAGAGTGCTGTGGTGTCCCGAATGAGGGTAACCAGAACACGCAGAGACAAAATGCTTTGCTGTCCTTCATCGAAGTAGGCAAGCAAGCAGGGAAAGCTGAGAACCAGCTGTCCAGGGGGGGGTCCCTTTAAGCACAGGCCTCAGATAGCCTCAGGTAGCAGCCAGCCTCAGGTAGCAGCCGTACAAAGTAACTCCTGACCTGATGCCCTGCTGGACCTGGTTCCGGCCAGCCTTAAATGCGATTCAGCGTCCACTCAGTGTGGATGCACTATTTCGAAATCGCAAAATGCTATTTCGAAATGCATTTTGTGTGTAGACGCGTTATTTCGAAATAACTTATAATGCTATAGTGTAGACATACCCATTGCAGGAAGTTCAAAGGTTTCAATTGAAGAATGATTCATTTCGTTTAATAATTTCACGAAAAAAAATGGAAAAGAAATTGCCGCTCATGTATTAGCAATTCTGGAAGGCTTCAAATTAAATTTTCAAGTCTGCATTGGCCAAGTCTGACAATGAATCCAGTATGGCTGGGAAGTACAACGGAATACAATCAGTCCTTCTTGAACAAAATCAAACTATTTTCTCCAGTTGTGGCAACCACACACTAAATCTTGTCGGTGATGATTGCGCTGAATCATGCAAGGAAGTAATCACATACTTTGGAACAATCCAGCAATTGTACAACCACTTCAGTAGCAGTCCTCGAAAGAGGGAAATTCTCAAGCAGCATCTGCCTGTTTCCCTTCACGGCATGTCGACAACAAGACAGTCAGCATGAATTGATGATGTTAAATCAGTTGCACAACATTTGGACTGTATGACAAAGGCTTTAAGTGAGCTTCAATCTCTTACTCTCGCAGCACAGGCTCGCACTCCGTTGAAGTCAATTCAGAAGTATACATCCACATTTGAATTCATTTTAATGTCATCCATGTGGATGAAGCTGCTAAAAATTATCCACAAAATTAATCTTGTAATTGAAACATGTAATGCTACATTAAATGTTGAGAGGGATAACACTGAACGACTTCTTAAAGATATTCAAAAGATTTGTGATCAATGGGACGCAATCTTTTCTTATTCTAAATCAGCAGCTCAGGGTATTGACATTTCATCTGAGTTTTCCACCAATTGCAGCCTAACATCTTGATCTGATGCAGAAAGGCACAATCGTGTAAATATGGGTTTTTTTTAGTTTTGTTTTTTCTTATTATTGACTCCATCAAATCTGGTCTTACATGTCGATTTGAGTCACTGTGACAAATTTGTATCCTTTTTGGATTTCTTTGTGAGTTCAGATAACTAAGTGATAAAGATCTATATTCAGCTGCTGAACAATTTCCAGCAAATATACAACAACAAAATTTTAAGAGATATCTGTGACGAGATTGTCTTCTTGAAACGTATAAATTCCATCAACTTTAAAGTGGACTGTAAGCCAAAAGAACTGCTTCAAGAAATATTTAATCTTAGCCTTTCAACTGTATTTCCTAATATTACAATTGCATTAGGTATTTTTGTCAGTCTCCCTGCATCAGTGGCTTCTGGTGAATGCACATTCAACGTGTTAAAACAAGTGGAGAACTATCATCATTCTGCAATGGGACAAGAACATGATTAACAGTAACAGTGATGTTGCGTGTAAATTAGATTTTTCTTCAATTATAAACAAGTTTGTACACAACAAAGCCAGAAAAACATTCCTAAAATGAACAGTTTTGTTTGCAGTGGAAACTCACAGTTAAAGTGACATTTTAAATATACATCCTATTGGTATAATGAGTTAATTGTTATTCAATAAACATCTCAAGTGTTCATTTTCATATATTCTTTTAGACTTTACATGACCCTATGGATGAGAAGTTAGATACGTTGGGGTCCAGGGACTGGGATGGGGCCTCTAAACTTAAAGTGACCCGGGCCTCTGTCATTCTCGGTGAAGGCATGTCTACTGGCCACCAATACCCTACACTTAAGCCCAGCGGTTTCCATGAAATCCATGGGGTGTTTCTCAGTCACCAAGGTCACATATCTCATCACATTCTCCAGCATCACTGGTCAGGTTAATAGCTAGGGCCATTGTTCCATCAGAGTTTGAGGCATCAGAGAGTGTTGTGGAGCTTTTGGAGGTATCCCATCCAGATCCACCACTCTAGGAGTGAGATCTGGCCCTGGCACAGTTGACCATTTCCTCTTTGTTCCCTGACAGTTCAGCAGTGCTTGGCTTTTCTCTCTTATCGCCTGAACTTCAAGGCCTAGCAAGATCTTTTGCAGTATGTGGTTGCTTCCGTAGGCATTCAGGCATAATTCCTACAGGAGAATACCCATAAGTTGTTGGACTTCCTGGAGCCATTTCTCCTGGAGTGAGTGGCTTTCTGTATTAACTGAGCATTCCTAGAAGTTCTTTGGAGTGTGCTGTCTTCAATCCCATCTACTGCAAACTATCTAGAGAAACACTGCTTTATAAGGTGCAAGGATTTGAGGGCTTTAACTCCCTCTAGTCCCTAATTCCCTGATCATAACTGTGGTGGATGACAGAGGATAGCAAGGTAGATTTAAGTTCACCCCAAAGGACAATGATTGAAAGAGAATGGCCTTGATGTGTAAAAAGGTCTATATCTCCACTTTCCTGCAAATGAAGATTGCAAGCTAGCATGCACAGTTGTCCAAATATCAATGTGATTTGGGAAGGTTATGTGTAATTTACAGACCAGCTACCTGAAGTCTCCAGGAAAAAAATTTGAATCTTCACTGAAGGCTGGTTGGTGGCCAAGACATCATTATAGTCCATGGATACTTTGGCCAGAGTGATGCCCTTGGCAGAGACCATGAGAAGGGTATTCTGGCTGCAAAATCCAGGTATAGGCAGTCCCTGGGTTACGTACAAGATAGGGACTGTAGGTTTGTACTTAAGTCGAATTTGTACTTAAGTCGGAACTGGTGTCCAGATTCAGCCGCTGCTGAAACTGACCAGTGGCTGACTACAGGAAGCCCGAGGCAGAGTTTCTCTGCCC